GTATTTACGTTATTGAAGTCAACATGTCTGATTTCACCTCTTGGGTGATGGATACCAGATGTGGTTCTCACATCTGTACTTCTATGCAGAATTTGCATGAAGTTAGACATTTGGCTAAGGGAGAAGTCCAGCTTAAGGTCAGAAACGGAGCACTTGTCAATGCGCTGGCTGTAGGAACTTATGTTCTATCTCTCCCTAGTGGCTTGTTGTTGCATTTAAACAATTGCTTGTTTGTACCTGCCATTAGCAGGAATATCATTTTTGTGTCCTGTCTTGACAAAGCAGGATTTTCTATTAACGTCAAAGACAAGTGCCTTTCGGTTTTCAGAAATGATATTTACTATGCAACAACTAACCAAATAGTTTGAATCTCTCACATAGCTTTGCATTGTTGTTTGGGCCACATTAACGAGAAACGCATATCTAAGTTACGTCACTCTAGCGTACTTGATTCATTTGACCTCGAGTCTTATGATGTATGCCAATATTGTTTACTCGGTAAAATGACAAAGGCTCCATTCACCAGTCACGGTGAAAGGGCGAGTGATGTATTAGGCCTCATACACTCTGATGTATGTGGCCCAATCAACACTGAAGCTAGAGGTGGTTTCTCATACTTCGTAACATTTACTGACGACCTCAGTCGGTATGGATGTGTGCATCTCATGAAGCACAAATCGGAATGCTTTGACAAGTTCAAAGATTTCAGAAACGAAGTAGAGAAACAATTAGGCAAAAGTATCAAGACCCTCCGCTCGGATCGAGGAGGTGAGTACTTAAGCCTGGAGTTCAACGACTATCTAAAAGAGCACGGGATCCTATCCCAGCTGACTCCTCCCGGTACACCCCAATTAAATGGAGTGTCTGAAACGAGAAACCGAACGCTGCTCGATATGGTTCAGAGTATGATGAGTCTGACAACATTACCAGAGTCTTTTGAGGGCAAAGCACTATTAACAGCAGCACACACTCAATCGCGTACCATCTAAAGCTGTTGAGAGCACACCATACGAACTATGGCGTGGGACGAAACCAAATTTGTCGTACTTGAGGATTTGGGGTTTTGATGTTTACGTTAGACGCCTCATGACGTCTGGTAAGCTCGATTCCAAATCTGACGGGTGTAAATTTGTGGGATACCCCAAAGAAACGAAAGGGTATGTGTTCTATCATCCGGCCGATAACAAAATCTTTGTTGCTCGGAACGGAACCTTCCTTGAGAAGGAGTTTCTCTCTTCTATTTCTAGTGGGAGAAAGGTAGACCTCGAAGAAATTCGAGAACCACAAAAAGAGATCTCAATAGCAGTGGAACCCGAGCGTCAAGAATTAGTAATTCGAAGTAATTCGACTTGTCAGACCGGATGCGTAATCCTCCGGTTAGATACGGGTTCCTTGTATCTGATGAAGGTGACGTCTTACTGGTAGACCAAGGCGAACCTAAGACCTACCACGAGGCAATCACGTGCCCGGAATCCAAAGAAATCTTTTAATGCCATGAAATCTGAAATGGAGTCTATGTACACAAACCAAGTCTCGACCTTGGTTGATGTGCCCGAAGAGATAAAACCCATAGGGTGCAAGTGGATTTTCAAAAAGAAAACAGACGTAGACGAGAAGGTTCATGTAACGCCCCAAAACATACCCTAGAATTATTAATGAATAAATAATCAATTAATCACAATTGTTTTGATTAAAATAAATTATTGTAGGGCTTTGGGCCGATATGAAATTTGTTTTGACATCTAATATCAAAATCTGGATAGTCTCATAGAGATAAATCCAATATGTGGACTATTTGTGTGGTCTTGATTGGGAACCTGAGTACAGACCCAAATCAAGAGTAAATAAAGAATTTGTTTAGAATGTGAATATTGAAATGATTTGTTAAAATAAATCATTAGAACAAATGATATGAATTAAATGTGAGAAACCTTTTTGAATAAAGATCAACTAAATCAATTTTTATTCTGTCAAAGTCAAACACCCAAAAATATGATGTCAGAAAAAGTATAACCAATAAATATAAAAATTATATCGTTGGATAGAGTTTAACTTTCCAATCGCAACGGTGCAAACGGAATTAATGATGTCAAAATTACATGTCAAACGGTATTTCCGAAATTGGACCCGAACGAAGAAGAAGATGAACAGTGGCTGAAACACCACTGTCTGGATCGATCCAGGGGCTTGGATCGATGCCCTGGGAGTGATTTTTCATAGTTTGGATCGATCCAGAGGGCTGGATCGATCCCCCGAAGTTCTTATCCAAAAATTTGTCTGAAATTGCTATTTTTGAGCTCTAAAATCCTATTTTTGATACCAATGGATTATGACCATTATAAAAATGATTTACCATAATAAAAATGATGTTTTTAACAACTAAAAATGTTATGTGTTGCATGATGGTAAGTTCGGGTGTTAACACTCGAAGCTAGGCCGCTATTTATTATCAATTGTTGTGTTAATTGATGATTATGATAAATGAATATTATGGATGATTATGAGTATTGAACCTACTGATTAAAATAAGTATTTATGATTGAATCATGAATAAAATGAATACATTTATAATTATGAAATGATTTGTAGTGTTAAGGGTATCTAGAAGAACTCTAAGGTATACACATTTA